GTATGATAACTAACTAGAATTTAAATCAAAACTTTAAAAAATGCTTGGTGGAATTTTCCAGGACTTTTTGAATTTCTTTGGAAGCCTTTTGATTACAAATTCAGTTTCTCTAATTGTCGTATCTATTCAGTTTTTCTATTTATTTGCTAGTTAGATTTATTTTTACTTTTTTCTAAAAGTTCAGCTACAGGGGCACCTGGGTGGCTCAGTTAAGCATCTGCCTTCAGCTCAGGTCATTATCCCTGGGTCCTGGGATCAAGTCCTGCATCAGGCTCCCTGCTGAGTGGAGAGTCTGCTTCTCCCTCTACCACTCCTCCTTGCTCATGTTCTCACTCCCTCGCTCTCAAATAAATAAATAAAATCTTAAAAAAAATAAGATTCAGGTACAGATTTGTCAACTTCTGTTGATCTTTTCAGGGAGCCAACTTTTTTTGTTGTTGATTTTTCTCCATTGGACTACTATTCTCTATGCATTATTTCCTGCTCTACCCTGTATTACTTCCTTCTTTTCACTTGCTTTGAATTTCGTTTGCTTTTCTTTTTCCAATGTCTAAAGGAGGAATGCTAAGTTATTGATTTGAAATATTTCTTCTTTTAAAATATAGGTATGTACAGCTATAAATTGCCCTCAAATACTGCTTTAGCTCCATCTCATAAATTTGGGTATGTTGTACCTTTATTTTCATTTGTCTTGAAACATTTTCTTTAAAAAAAATTTTTTTTTGCTTGAGTATAGTTGATATACACTGTTACATAAGTTTCAGGTGTACATCATAGTGATTCCACGTGTTTATACATTATGCTATGTTCACCCAGGTGTAGCTATGATTTGTCATATTCCTTATGCTGTGTCTTTTATTCCTATGACTAATTTATTCCATAACTGGAAGCCTATATATTTCATCCATTTTGCCCATCCCCCACCTCCTGTCTCTCTAGCAACCATTAGTTTGTTCACTGTATTTATAAGTCTGATTCTGCTTTTTGTTACTTCATTAGTTTTATTTTTTTAGATTCCACATATAAAGGAAATCATATGGTGTTTGTCTTTCTGTTTGACTTATTACATTTAGCGTAATACCCTCTAGGTCCAACCATGTTGTCTCAAATGGCACGATCTCATTCTTTTTTATGACTTTGTAGTATTTCAGCATATCTGTGCATGTGTGTGTGTATGTGTACATACACATGTACATACATACCACCTCTTCCTTATCCATTTGTCTCCTAATGGACACTTAGGTTGCTTCCATATCTTGGCTATTTTAACTAATGCTGCAATAAATATAGTGGTGTATATATCTTTTTGAATTTGTAAATATCTTCTCCCATTCATTAGGTTGCCTTTTTGTTTTGTTGGTGGTTTCTTTTACTGTGCAAAAGCTTTTTATTTTGATGTAGTCCCAGTAGTTTATTTTTGCTTTTGTTTACCTTGCCTTAGGAGACATACCTAGAAAAATTTTGCTGCAGTTGATGTTAGAGAAATTAGTGCCTAGAATTTTATGGTTTCAGGGCTCACATTTGTGTCTTTAATCTATTTTGAGTTTATTTTTGTGTATGGTATTAGAAAGTCATCCAGTTTCATTCTTTTACATGCAGCAGTTTAGTTTTCCAGCACCATTTATTGAAGAGACTATCTTTTCTCCATTGTATATTCCTGACTCCTTTGTAATATATTAATTAATCATATATGTGTGGTTTCATTTCTGGGGTCTCTATTCTGTTCTATTGATTTATGTGTCTATTTCTCTCTCTCTCTCTTTTTTTTTTGCCAGTACCAAACTGTTTTGGTTGCTACAACTTTATTTTTTAAGATTTTATTTATTTATTTGTGAGAGGGAGAACGAGAGCACAAGTGAGGTGAGAGACAGAGGGAGAAGCAGATTCCCTGCTGAGCAGGGAGCCCAATGTGGGACTCAATCTTGGGACTCTAGGATCATTACCTGAGCTGAAGGCAGGCACTGACTGAGTCACCCAGGTGCCCTTATTATTCTAGCTTTGTAGTATAACTTGAAATCTGGGGTTGTGATACCTCCAGTTTTGTTTTTATTTCTCAAGATTTCCTTGACTATTTGAAATTTTTTGTGGTTCCATATAAATTTTAGGATAATTTGTTCTATTTTTGTTAAAAAACCCCACTATTGGTATTTTGATAGGGATCACATTGAATCTGTAGATTGCTTTGGGTAGTATGCACATTTTAATATTTTTAGTTCATCTAATCCATGAGCATGAAATATCTTTCCATTTGTTTATTCTTCAATTTCTTTCATCAGTGTTTTATAGTTTTCAAAGTACAGGTCTTTCATCTCTTTGAGTTTATTCCTATGTATTTTATTCTTTTTGGTGCAATTGCAAAATAGGTTGTGTTCTTAATTTCTCTTTCTACTATTTTGTTATTAGTATATAGAATGCTACTGATTTCTGGGTATTAATTTTGTATCCTGCAACTTTACTGAATTCATTTATTGCTCCTAGTAATTTTTTGGTAGAGTCTAGGACTTTCTGTGTATAGTATCATGTTGTTCACAAATAGCAACATTTTAACTTCTTTACCAATATGGATGCCTCTTATTCATCTTGAAGTATTTTCTAATTTCTTATGTGATTTTGTTTGTTACTTATTAATGCTTTGGAATTATGTTGTTTATCATCCACATATTTTTAGTTTTCCAAATTATGCCTCTGTTAGTGATGTTAAGTTCATTCAGTTATTATTTGAGAACATATTTTGTATGAACTCACTACTTTTAAATTTATTTTAGTTTGTCTTATGGCCTATGATATTGTCTGTCCTAGAGAATTTTCCATGTGCACTTGAGAAGAATGTGCATTTTGTTGTTGGATATGTTTTCTAAATATTAAATATATTTGGTTTATGGTGTTCAAATCTTTTCTTTCTTTCTTGATTTCCTATCTAATTGTTCTATTCACTATTCATATTTGAGTTTTGAAACCTATTATTCCTGAAGTGTCTGTTTCTCCTTTCAAATCAGTCACTTTTTGCTTTTTGTTTTTTGGAAGCTCTGTTGTTGGATGCATATATGTTTATACTTGTTATATCTTCCTAATGCAATGGTCCCATTTTCTCTTGTGACATTTTTTTGGTTTGTTTTAATATCTCTTTGGTCTGATATTAGTATAGCCACTCCAACATTCTTATGGCTATTGTTTGCATGACATATTTTTTTCCCATGCTTTCATATTTTCAGCCTATTTGTATCTTTGAATCTAAAGTATGTTAGTAAACCTGATTCATACTTTGAATCTAAGTATGTTAGTAAGTTGGTGTTTCACTAAAATTATTTGATACAAATAATTTTATCACCTTTAACAGTGATAATGTTGTCTCTGATATATTGACGAGTTAATGTTTGTTTAATACTTATAATCTCATACTGTTATTCTGGATAATGATGTTTTTGGAATATTAAGCAGGTATAGCCTCCCCTTTTCAGGAAGTTTAAATATAAGATAAAGGATTTATTGTCTAATTTATTCCTATTGGTCTGAGAAGTAGAGCAGATAAAATATGAGTTTATTCATTTTATAGCAAGAAAATGTGTCTATAAATAAATTTGCACTTTTCTCTCATTTTTAACACTATAAATAATCTTAAATCCCAATGACAAATTTAATTTTAAATTTACTGATTCAAGCCACTACAAGTTTTTCCAATCATAATGGGTAGGAAACAGCTTGAGGTTTCCAATTTTCATTGCTATATCTTCATTGAAATTGTGTTGAAGAGCAGAGAAAAAGTTTAGTTATTAAATATTGTCATTTACTTGATTTTAACATTATTTAGCACTCTTGTAAGATGATTGACATAGTTCGTGTATGGATTGCAGGAAAGGAAAAACTACCTTCTGAAAATGATTGAATAGCAGCTGGAATTAATGAATAAGGAGGTGATTGAATGAGTGTATCAACCAGATGAAATATAGGCTTTTTTATGTATTCTGTGTGATGAAAGGATTAACAGAATTCAAGGTAATACAAAATAGAAACTCTATGATATAACAATGAGTGATAATAATGTTAATGATAGTGTTAGCTGATTTTTATAGGAGACTTATTGTTTGCCAGGCACTAATCTAGTATCTTTACATATAGGTTAGTGATTGGATTGTCAAATCAGACTGACTTTTATTTGAAGATGTTAATCACTATTAAGCTTTACTTGTAATTTTAAGGATACAAGGAACTGAAAGTCACAGGAAAAGCAGACAGAGGTCCTGGACATTGAGAGAGGCCCCTAGATTCTTTCTTCCCATGGTAGACAAAACTCTCCATCCCGGAGCAGTAGATATGATCTCTAATGATGTACATGGGTTACCTTGTACAATAGGGAACATTATAGGCTGTGAAATATTCCATTTTATACTCCGATAATTGCATAGGTGATGTCTCTTATAAACCTATAGATTCTAGGTTTGTTTACCATAATGGTTCTAAAACAAGGTGTATTCTGCTAAAAGCCTTCTATGGATGAGTACATTTTTTTTTTTTTAAAGCTAATACCATTGGTATATTTGTCAGTAGCTAACGTGCTTATAAGGAGAGTAGAAGGTCTTCTGCCTTCTTTTTTCTTGGGAGAGCCTCCTACCCAACAAGAAACAAAAACAAAGCAAAACCAAACCTTTCTTTCATTTCCAATGAATTTCCTTATTTAAATGCAAATTCAAATTCAATTATTTATTTTTTTCTGTTAAACTAGGTAAAATATATTAAGAAGGAACTTCAGGCATATTTAAAATATTCTATTTTATTTTATTTGGTTTGGTTTGGTCTGTAGGACATGGAGTGAGAGATACAGTAAATAGAAATATATTCTTACCAGCAGCAGATATCCACTGTAGCAGCTCGGTGTATTCCTTTTGTGTGTGTGCATGCACATGTCATCTACAATTCTTTCTTCTGTTTTCTCTTAGAATATTTGAGAAATCATATGATGGTTTCAATTTTCAATTTTCTCTGATTTTCTTTCCCCAACCCAGGATGGAGACCCAGTTCGTCCGGGAGTGGCCATGACTGATCTCGCTACTGGCCTGTATGCATATGGAGCCATTATGGCTGGATTGATACAAAGATACAAAACAGGGAAAGGACTGTTCATTGATTGTAACCTACTGTCATCTCAGGTACCAATCCAAAGAACATTTGAGATTGTGGTGTAGGCATATGTCTGGGTTATACTCTTTCATATTGAATCCTATAGTCAAAAATCCCATCTGCAAAAAGAAAAATAAAAAACAAACCAGGAAAAAAACCACAAACAACAACAGCAAAAGCTGTTCAATTTTGGTATAGTTAATTATTGTTAAGTTAAAATAAACAGACCATGAATATTTTGTTATATGTAGACATTGCCATTGAATTAGAGTTTTAAAGACTGTATTAAAATGGGTCTATTACTATTTGTGAGAAAAGAGTACATTTGGTTCTATTTTATTATCACATGAGCTCTGTAACTTCTTTTGACCAGGATTTCTTCACCTTTTATGTACTCTGGGCCCTTTGAATAGTCTGGTGGAGGCTATGGACCTTTTTTCAGAATTTTGTTTTTAGATGCATAAAATGATATACTTATCATTACAAGGGAGCCAGTTATATTAAAATATGGTTATTTCTATATAAAAGCCAGTTTTGTGTTGTAATAACACATGTGGTTTTTTACTAATACATTAAACCATATGATCTATTTTACTAATACATTAAACCATATGATCTATTATCGTAACTATTGCAATTTTGAGGTAATGTTGAACATAAATGATGTTTTAAGATATTTGCAATATCTAGAATATGATATGAAAATATGGATAGTTTATTGGTAATCAAGCCATAGGAACTACTAACACTCCTGGAGTTTGTTGCCTACATTCATAATTGAAGAAAATGCTAAATTTTGTTAGAAATTGGATGGATGTAGAGATATAATTTTTTTTTCCATTCAAATTAATTACTTCCCAGAATTCTTTCCATGGACTCCAGGTTAGAATCCCTGGTTTAGAGAGTTATCAGTTATGTCATGCTAAAAACTAACCTGGTGGAATTAAAAGGCTGACTAACTCTAAGATTGACATTTTGTCTCCTTTTTATTGGAGCAGACCTAGATGCCTATTCAGAACTGATAAATTTTCAGGAATAGAAAAAAAGAAAATACCAAATTTATGTAAGGAGATATTTTACTATGGGAAAAATTACTTTATAGATGGAAACCTCAGTTAGGAATTTCAGATTTAAATGGCATACATGGGAGACTAGTAAACTTGGAAATCTGCTTGGAGATTTGTTCTCATAGACAAAATTAAGGAGTTGTCTAGAGGTTAGAAAAAACATCAAAATGGTTGAAGGTAAAATACTACATATGGGGTTTCAACATTAGCTTTGAGTCACAGTGAGCATTTTAATGGTTATATAAAAGGGTAAAATAATTCTCTCCAAATGAATGAACTGCCTTCTAAATAGAGAAACACAGATGTTGGTTATGGAAAGAAGCTGAAAGCCTTTTCCTCCTTCCTCTAATTTTATATCTGTAAGGAACCTGAGGCAGGATAAGTTAACTGGCTACAAGTTACACATTCAATAATGTTGGAAGCCAGGAAGCCTTCAGGGGGTTTGACCTGTGCAGTCACAGAGGGTCCTAGGCTTAGTTTAAATACTCTGTTATCATTGCCATGAGATTCTTAATTATTTTTGAACGACAGACCCTACATTTTTTTCACTTTGCACCAGTACTTGCAAATTATGTGGCTGGTCCTGGATTTGGGACCCTATTTATTTTATTTATTTTTTTATTTTTTAAAAAAATTTTATTAATTTATTTGACAGACAGAAATCACAAGTAGGCAGAGAGACAGGCAGAGAGAGAGGAAGAGAAGCAGGCTCCTGGCCAAGCAGAGAGCCCGATGCGGGGCTCGATCCCAGGACCCTGGGATCACGACCTGAGCCGAAGGCAGAGGCTTTAACCCACTGAGCCACCCAGGTGCCCCGGGACTCTATTTAAATCTCCTGATCTTTACCTAGTCTGCTTTACTTACATGTCAATGATTAATTAGCTTTGGAAGAAATTCTCTTGTAGCGTATGGTAGAATTTAATTCTCTTCCAGCACCTAGCACAGTGATTCATGGTGTGGAGGTTTGTGGTTCCCTGGGGATGGGAGTGGAAGAGGGGGTTTGATATCACCAGTAGGGCTGTTTCAAAGTGAGGGTACAGGAAGTGCAAACTCATGCATGCATACCTACATACACTGCTTTCCAGTCATTTTGGGTATGTATGTGTGTTTGTTGCTCATGTTGTCCCCTGAGCCTGTAAGTCCCATGAATGCAGGAATAATGTTTGTTTCTGCTTACAGTGGTATCCTCAAAGCCCAGCCCAGTGCTCATCAAATAGCGGGCTCTTCCAATCTTTTGAGATCAATAGGACACCCATTGTTACAGTGGGTATGTCTCATGGCCCCTAGGTTTGATAGGAAAGTTAGAAAAACATAGAAAACCATAGATTAGGATAAGCACTTGATAAACAACTAATGATGAGATGATTTGCTTTTAGCAAACTCGGTAGGAGGGATTTAGCCCATTTGCTGTAGCCGATCCAGTCCAAGGTTGCTAAAGTTATTAGTGTGTTTTAGACTCATTAACTACCTTTTTAAAATCGAGGTAAAACTGACATAAACCATTATATTAGTTTCAGTTATACAATATGATGATTTAATATTTGTATGTATTGCAAAATGATCACCACAGTAAGTTTGGTTAACATCCATCCTGAAACATAGTTGCGGTCTCTTTTTCCCACAGTATTATTAGCTATAGTCACCATGCTGTACGTTACATCCCTGTGACTTACTTATTTTATAACTGGAAATTTGTACCATCTGACTCCCTTCACCTATTTTACCAGCCCTTTGCCTCTTGCAACCACCGATCTGTTCTCTGTATCTATGAGCTCAGGTTTTGTTTTTTTTTTTTTTTAAAGATTTTATTTATTTATTTGACAGAGCGAGAGATCACAAGTAGGCAGAGAGGCAGGCAGAGAGAGAGAGAGGGAAGCAGGCACCCCGCTGAGCAGAGAGCCCAATGCGGGACTCGATCCCAGGACCCTGAGACCATGACCTGAGCCGAAGGCAGCGGCTTAATCCACTGAGCCACCCAGGTGCCCCCTTTTTTTTTTAAGTAAAAAAAAATTTCTTCTAGATTCCACATATAAGCAAGATTGTATTTCTCTGACTGGCTTCTTTTACTTAGCATAATGCCCTCAAGGTCCATCCGTGTTGTTACAAATGGCAGGATTTCCTTCTTTTTTTGATTCCTGAATAACATTCCATTGTGTGTGTATATATGTACAACTTTTTTTTTTAATCCATTCATCCTTTTTTTTTTTTTTTTTTTAGATTTTATTTATCTAATTGTCAGAGAGAGGGAGAGAGCACAAGCAGGGAGAGCAGCAGGCAGAGCAGGTAGAGGGAGAAGCAGGCTCCCGTTGAGCAAGGAGCCAGATGTGGGACTCGATCCCAAGACCCTGGGATCATGACCTGAGTCGAAGGCAGCCACTTAACCAACTGAGCCACCCAGGCGTCCCTATCCATTCATCCATTGATGAACACTTAGATTGTTTCCATATCTTGGCTATTGTCATTACCTTTTAACAATAAAAATCAATTAAGTCTTATTTTAAAGCCATGGATTTTCAGATCTAATGTTTTATATGATCTTCATAAGAATCACTTGAGGTAGGTAGGGCAGGAATTTTTTTAAAAGATTTTATTTATTTATTTGAGAGAGAACACAAGAGTGAGAGAGGGGTGAAGGGCAGAGTGGGAGGAAGAGGGAAAAGAATCCCATGGAGACTCCATGCTGAGTGCAAGTCTGGACTCCATCTCACAACCCCAAGATCATGATCTGAGCTGAAACCAAGAGTTCAATGCTCCACTGGCACCCAGGTGTATGGGGCAGGACTTTTTATTCCTATTTTACTTGGAAAGAAACTGAAGCTAGGAGATGTTGATCTGCTTGACCAACAGAGTCACAGCAAGAATTTTGGTTTCTCTTTCCCCTACACAATAAAGACAAAAGCTTTGGCACCGAGGGACAGGCAAGAGCTAGTTTTCCTGTGGTGAAGCTCCAGGGGAGAAGGCAAATTTTGTAAAAGACAGAGGAAAAGAAAAGATCACTCAGTGGAAAGGGTACGTGTAACAAGGCCGGCCCCTCCTGTGCCCACGTTGCATTCCAAGAGTCAGAGTAAGACAGTGTGACAAAGTGGACCTGCCTGGATCATTATCTAATCATGTTCAGATGCAGGGAGAGATAACGATCATGGAATTTAACCTGATGGACAAGTGTTTCTGTTGAGATATGGGAATTTTGAGAAAGAGAACATTTGGAGTGGGTTTTTTATGAGCTCTTGTCAGCTGAGGACTCACTGTGTCCCAGGCGCTGTGGTAGCTCCGTTAGAGTGGGAGGTGACACGTCTGTTCAAGGCTTAGTAGTAGAGATGGTCTTGTCCTAATGGAGAGCTGGAAGTGATGCATGGTTCTATGTAGGAGAGAGTTTTAGAACACAGTTGGGCCAAGAGTATTAAGGGCCTCACATGTCATGCTTAGGAATGTGGATTTTAACCTCTCAAGGCCTCTGGTTTTTTATCTAGCAGTTCCCTTGGTGACGATCTTTTCAACCAAAGACTGTGTCTCCTTGGAGACATGCTATGGTTGCCACAACCAGAATAGCTTCTGAGCTGGGAACAGTGCTAAGTTTTCAAGGGCAGTGGTACAGATAATAGTTTATGTTGAAGCTAGTCTGAAGTGCAAGGTGGTGGGCGATAAGACCATTTTCATTCTCTTCTCCCACTCCTGCCCAAGCTCTGTTCATCTCGTTTTGCCTCTACCCTATTTCTTTTCTCTGTAACTTCTTTTCTTCTCATCTCATGTGCCGCTGCAGTCTTGGGCATCTCTTTTCTCTTTTTCCCTCTTGTCTTTCTTTACTTCCCTGTTTTCCCTCCTATTCTGTGCTGCCTTTTCCAAGTCCCCTTTTCTCCATCTTTCATTACATGGAGCTATAGTTGAAGCAGTACTGCTTCCAGATCTTACATCTTTATAGTGTACCATGAGGGAAACTTACAGAATCTTTTAGCGGTTTCCAT